GTGGGGGGAAGGTGTGAGACTGGATGGCTGTGTCTTGTTGTTTTGGTTTTTTTCAAATGGAAGAATGAAGCAGATTGAGTCTGAGGCACAGAGGCACAAATTTCTAGGGCCCACCTCTCTGGGTTGGTAATGATTTTATTCATTAATTGCCTGACATTATGCAAAGAGTCTTGGGAACTGAATGTTAAGGTCCACTTAGCACGTTTAATATGGGACAAGCTTTATTTAGGGTATTATTTAGCAATTTTGGGAAAATACTTGGTTTTGAAAGGAAGATATCTATTTATCTCCCATCCAAATCTTCTGAGGTTGACTCTAGTCAATGCAGAAAGTTTCAAGGAACTATTTAATAAATGACAGTCACATTCCTAGAAAGGTGCACTCCAAACTGCATTCACTTTTGCAAATTGAAGATTTCAAAAATTCATCAAATCATTTTAGAGACAAAGAAGACTAACAGAAAAAAACCTGGTTATAAACACAAAACCACCAGTACAAGTCAGCAGGAGCCACAAAGACAGGTAGTATGAAAATACTTCAGCAATTGCTATATTCCAAAATAGCACTAATTCTCTGTTAATTTCTCTTGGGAAAAAACAATTCTAGTAACCCTCCATGCCAAGCCTTCTGAAATAGACTACAGTACATGAACATTTTCTTATTATATGAATTGTGAACAGAGACAGCAAGCTGAGCAAAGTGGAAGAACACAGAGCATGGAAACTACGTGGTCCACACCCATAAGTGTGGAAGGACTCTTAAAATACACAGGCAGTAATTCAGTGTTACAGCTGTAGTTAAGATGGAAAAGGAAACAGAAACATTAAAATGAAAGACAAGTAAAAGCTATCCTCACGTTAAACTAGTTTCAAAAGTATGGGTGTCTTTTTTACAGTGGGTTTAAAATAGGGGAAGATTTAAGCAGCACCTATTTTGGGCAGAGTTTCTAAATAACCTGCCTTTTTTAGGAATTCATATAATAGACTGAAACCACACAAATACTGGCTAAATACTATTTCAAAAGGACTTGATGCTTTGTCACCTTCATATAAATAAGCTAATTTATTTTTTTCTAGACTATAATAGGTAGTCAACACAAGTCTTTTTCTTCTACAAAAATGGGACATATTTCTTCTACCTGCTCTTTCCCCCAAAGCTATTCCTCCTAAAAAACAAATGATTGCAGGTTTAAAAAATATAATTAAGACATGTCTGAGCCTTTTTACAGATAGTAACAAACTCTGCATGAAACTGGTAGAAATCGGCACCTGTATAAGAAAGTGAAAAGAAAATAATAATTTTTTCTTGCATAGAGGAGAATTCCACACAGGAAAGCAGCATATTTTTGGTAACTTACTTCTGATTTTTGTTTGCTTTTTAAAAAAAAGCCCTTTCACGTCTATTACTCCATTGTGCAAATTCCTGTAATTTAACTACTAAAAAGATGAAATAGTTGGAGTTAAGTTTTTCATTGACAAATGTCCCATTAGGAAAAAAAAAAAAAAAAAGGAAATTAAAAGGGAAAAGTGGGAACTTAAAATACTCCATTAGAGAAACAAATCTATTTATTCCTCCTACAGATGCAGCCTGCTAAACAGGAATAAAGGAATATTTAAGTACAGAAGCTAAAAATCATGTCTTAAAATTCTGCAACGCCTCTCATCACTTCAATCAGTTGAAAATTACTACAATTCATGCTACCCCTTATATGCATTGTGGAGGATAAATAGACTACATTAACAAGAATGTCCAGGGGAGTCAGAAAATGCACTGTATTCTCTCCTTTCTCAGCAAGAAGACAGGCAGAGTGCAATTCAGAGCACCTAAGCTATGCAGGAGCTATATTGCTAACTTAGATTCTGTCAGGAATCACCTCTATATAGGTGACATACATAGACCTATATAATATAGGCAATTACTTCCCTCTAAAACCACAGAGGGATTGAAGTCTGCTGGTGCTAATACGCCCCAATCAGGCCTACCAACAAATAAAAAATTCCCCAGAAGATCTACAGAAATGCTGCAGTGGCTTAAGTCAAATAGTTATCCAGTAGAAGCAGAGCTCAAAATAGAACATAGATGGAAAGAATCTCTGATGAGATTTTTCACCAGATAATATAAGAAACCGGGGAAATGTCAGAGCAAGGGAATCAAGACTCTCAGCAAGGCAAAAATCAATGTTACCATCAATCAACAGGATACAAGTTCCAGTTAACACACCCACCTGAGAGCAGTTCTTAGCATATGGTCTTGAAAAGAGAGAAGTCAATAGCATTGTGGTGGCACACTAATGGGGCAAACTGGTTTAGAGAGCAGGAAATGGAGAAGCGATGGCAAAAGTGCACAGCAAGTCATCTTAGGGGAAAGTGTGGCAGGGCAGGAAAAACAGCACAGTTAACTCTGATAGAGAAAGATGCAAAGAGGTGGATTCAGGACAGGAGGAACTCAGGCAGAGACAGGCACACATTTCCCCAGGCAAGAGTGAGCTGACTGATTGACAAGCACAAAGAGAGATGCTTGGGGAAGCTGTGACAGTAAAGGGAGAGAGAGGAGACAAAAAGGACCTGGGAAGAGATCATCAGGAAAGATTCACAGAAGTATTATCTGGCAACAAGAACAATGTTTGCTAATTCTCTGTGGAAAAAGACCCCAAACTTTTTCGGGTCTGTCTCTCATTTTGAAACTAAGCAGAAGAGTTTTAAGGCTGTACATAAAACTTTGCTATAGCTAACTATGCTTCTTGACAGCAGCAAGGCCTCTTCCACCAACACTGCTGTCTGAAGAACCATGAAGATCTCTACAGATTTCAGTCTGGAAAACGGTCCAATTACATTTTCTGATGAACATATCACTCCCTGAAAGTTTGAGTCTGACTGTCAGGAAACCAAGTGAGACACTAAAACTTTAAAGCTTTACTTAGTCAGAGGCTTCAAAAGTCACTCCCTTCCTTGTTCAAGGGGACTAACCATTTACCACGAGGCAACAACTTCTTACATCAAAGCAAGTGCTACTTTACATGAAGTATTTGAGGTCTGATTGGCCTCTTTAATGCAATAAAGGCAATAATATCAAATAAAGGAAAAGCAATACCAAGCAAGTTTGCAGTGCTTCCATCAGAAAATCCTGGCTGGGCATTAAGCAATCCTCAAAGGTTTGGCTCCTGAAGCTGCAATATGGAATTATGCAAGTCCTCCAGGATTTATGAGTGTGCTGGAGCACAGTTACACAAAACACATGACAGGCTGAGCTTGGATGCTGTTTTGGACCACTCATCCCTGAAACTCCTGGCCTTTTGGCTTGTGACAGAAATACTCCTTTATTGTCAGCACAGCTTTCTCCACGTGTCGCTTTGCAGACTGGCACTAGTGCCTTTTTTCAGAATTGTGTGGTACCAACAAAAAAGTCAACCAGAAGAAAAAATATCAGTAACTGCAGAAGAACTGCTGTGCAGAGCCTCCACAGGATATTCTACTGTGTGGGCTTCAGGCCTGGAAAGGTACTGTGGCAAGCGTGGCCTTTAATACTGCAGAAGCCACATAGAAAAAGGAAAAATGGTACTGCAAATTTAACGTTTCTGTGATATTCTGTTATCAACACCCTGAAACCTACAACAAAGCTGCCTGTAGCAGTTACCTTTTATTGTCCTCTTTAAGTCCACACACTAGTTATTGTACTTTCAGTAGCTAGTTAGTACAGGGTCTTCTTGAAGAGCTGGATGTGTTTCTTCAAAATCTGCTACTCATCAGTTTTCTCTAAGTACATAGAACACTGAAGGAAGGTGTGAAAAAGGTACATATTTAGAGGGTAGTACTATGGTACTCCAGTCTCAGCCTAGTTTCTAAAAACTAAAGACATTAACAGCTGAAGTACAGGACAAACCTGGTTAAAGTTCTGCACTGTAGAGAATAACAGCAGAATGAAAAACTTTAGCTCCCATAACACACTCAACATACCCCACTTTCTGTACCAAGTAGACCAACCCTAGTTTTTCAAAACAGCATACAATTAATCCCAGCAAGACATGGGGGATAGCATCCTTAGTATTCAATTTGGGAGAGCAACTAAGAGCAGCTGGTGCAGAGCAGCATGTCTCCAAGCTAATCTCTAAACTGCTATGAAGTCCCAGAGTGCTCCTACTATCATCTGCAAGCACAAAAATGAGACAATTCAGGAAATTAATGTTAGTCCTTTTTCCTCAGTCCTTCAAGCCTGAGAGCTAAAAATGCTAATAAGAAAGGAAAGAAAAAAAAAAAAGAAAATAATTTTTCAGATAAGCAATTAGACTGGCAGATCTTATTTTAGACAGAGATTACTCAGTTAAACATCAAAAAATATTCCATCTCCTAGGTATTTTTTATCCCATTTCCTGTTTGAACAAACAATATAATCTATTTTTGCACTATACAATCACCATGGGTACTAAAGGATGAGACTTTTACACTTGGGGCTAATTAAAGGTAATGTCAACACTTATACACACATGCATAATCGAGCCCTTACCTGTCTTTGCAGGTGAAAACACTAAATTAGTCAGCTAGTTTTTGTAGTCATTTTGCTCTATTTCCTCAAGTCTATCTGCTTTGTCACCTTTCAAATTATTAAAACAGTGCTGCCACTAAATCATTCAGAGCAAATTATCTGCTTGAAAAATATCCCTATAAACAGGTGCAATTTTTAAAAGTTAAAGCAGGAACAGTTTTCTCCCGGCATTCTTTTAAGCAAAAGCATCTTCTGTCCATTGCTACATTACAGGGTACGCTCTACTGAATTATGCCTGCCCTATGCCTCTGCAGCCATACATCCACAAGCAAAGCAGCAAAGCCACCTCCTCTTCTCCCTCGAGTAACTCCTTTCAATTTGTTTTGAAAAAATGCTCAAGGACAAAGTAGCTTTCCCTCTGGTTATTGGTAATTTCTTTAACAGAAGTTATTTAAAACACTGACTCCAGTCAGGTAACTTACTGTTCTGCAAGTAACTTCACCAATGCCAGTACAATTTACGCAGCACAAGAAAGACACCAAGGCTCAGCTTCAAGTTGTTCTCAATATGTAGGATGGGTGACAAACAGGAAGAAGTCAGTTTCCCAAGGCGTGAGTTTTGTGCCTCTGAGAACAGGAAGAGCAGAAAGCCAACACACATTATCAGTCATGAGTGTCTCAGGTGTCTTGTGCAAACCTGTCCCCTTTAGAACTAAAACTGCTAAAATGCACTGATCAATAATTACAGGTAACTCTGAATTGCTTCACTTTGTGTAAAGCTGAAGTAATCCATCTGGAAGTGAATTTAAAAAACTCAGGGAATTTGACTGGGGACGTAAGCACATCCAAAGGAGAGATCAGCAAAACCTAAAACATCTGTGATCCACATTTCTGGGAGTTTTGGATAGGTATAAGCAAAAGTGACAGCAAAACATCTACTCTAAAATGTAAAGCACTTCAGAAATCCTTCTTAGCAACTGTTTCCTTGTTTCATGCTTGATACAGAAAACCACTTTAAGTATTCTAGTGATACAATTAGAAGTAAAGAAAACCAAAGTATTCAACTTTGCAGAGACCTCAGGTTCCTCTGACTAAATCCGCCTTCAAATAGCAATCCCCAAGTCCCAAATGAAATCTGTTGGTGCTTTAGACCTCATCCTGCCTCTGGCAAGATGTTATCCCCATAACCCTTCAGCAGAATAAATAGATCATGTAATTTTTCACCTCTTTGCTATAAGACATTCTAACATGACTACCTTTAGAAGCCCCAGCAAGTCAGTTCAAGCTAGACTGGTGCTAGTTATACCAGTAAAACCTGACAGAAAAAACAATCTGAGCCAGCCTTTCACTCCCATGCTACTTCCACCAGCAGGCCATGTCTCTCAGTGTACAGACAACTGGGCTGAAGCCCAGACAAATACAAGTGCACTTACAAAAGCCTTGACAAAAACACTACTGCTGATGCAAGCAAGCACATCCTGTTTTAGCTCATTTCCAACAGTTACCTAGAAAACTCTTGACTTCGCTTAAACTATGTTTAATTACACTAATTAATCATTTTTCGGTTCCAAAGGTCTGCAAAGTAGAAAGGAAACAACAGTTGAAGCTGTGCTTTTCTGTTCCTCAAAGAAGCAACAGTCAGCCACCTGAACCTGTAATAGCTAAACCTTTCACATTTTGTTGATGAACCAGAATATGACACCATTCATTTAAAAGGAATTATTTTTCTCATCTAAAACTATTAGATGCTATTAGAGCTATTAGTTCTAGAGGTATCTCTGTTTTCTGTATATTGCTTACTACCTTCCCTCATGTCAGCTTGTCCTATTTCTCCTGCTACAAAAATGTACAGATGTTTTTTTCTTTCTATGATTCTATGATCTATCTCCAGTCTGTACGTCTTCCACAGAAGTTAAGGTTTGATCCAACACCCACTGATGTCAGAGGAAGAGACTAGTCAGACCATAAAGAGAGGAAAACAGCCAGAATGTAAAAGGTCTGTTCTGACCAATTTAGTGTCTGGCTTTCACAGTTTTTAATGACACCAAGTGCCAAGAACAAAGACTCCCTCAGCTGGAGTCCTGGCAGGTATCATAAGCAGAGACGATGGGTCTGTGTAGTCTTCTTTCTCTGTGTACTTACCATCATGAACTCCACTTGCACACTGCAATCTATTTATGCTTCTGCAACAGAACAGAACAGAACTTGAAATTTTTTTTTTTAAAGGGAAAAGAAACCCCCAAACCTCGAAAAAAAGTACATATTTTCATCCTATCTTCTGTTACCTATAAAAGTTCCTGTTGACCATAGTTACCTGTATACACACCCCGTACAGCCAAATGTAAGAGTTTCTGTGTATGTGGAACTGATGTACATATGTAAGTTTGCATATTTGCAAAAATTTCTCACCTACAGATATGCAGACAAACACCTTTTTCTGAGCAGAAAACCATCTACAGATGTTTCACTTACTTCTCTGTGCCCGTAGCAAAAAAAAAAAAAAAAAAAAAAAAAAAAAAAAAAAAAAAAAAAAAAAGTATGTTCAAATGGTTTTTTCTTAAGCAAATCTGCCATTATTAGGTCAAACTGAAAGAGGAAAGAGGCCAATATTTCTAAAAGGAAAAAAAACCCATAATATTTTGATTGGCCTTTTCAATGTTTTTGGAGAGCTCCTGAATAACACACTATATAAGAGACAGCTACCAATTGTATTCTACTTCACTGAAATTAAAAGCCAGTTTCAAGGGTAGCAACAACTCTGTCCAGCAAAATAATGTACCATCACGAGTTGTTTCTGTTTTTAGACTTTGTTTTCCTTGAGCAATACGAAAGCACTCATTTTAATTTCTCAAGCATTAAGAAAATCCCCCATCTCAAAGCCTACATTCACTCTGCCTAGGAAAGAACATGCACTTTTTTCCAAAGCAACATCATTATTGATTGCACTGTATCAATCAGAAACTGCACTACACTTCACATCTCTCTGGGTTCTGTGTACCCATAGCCATTCATCCATTCTATCAGCAATTCCTTGGACAAAACCAGTGACAACAACGGAAAGCAAAGCCTGAACATTCTAAATCAGGTGGTGACTTGTACCAAAACATAAACAAAACCACCTTAAAACCTGAAGAACTATTTGTGAATCTTCTGTTTAAACTGTTTCTTGGGATATTCTAAAAGGACTGGAACTCTCAGCAGTCAACAGCCACATTTAGCTTTTTATGTCACCCTCCTGTGAGTTGTATTGCATTTTTCCCCCATGATGCAAATAGCCATAAATAGACGTGGGAATCCAAAAATATGAAATTAGTTTTGTGGGATTTGTTTTCTTTACTTAAAAAGGGATGATGGTTGAAAGAAAGAAAGAAAAAAATCACATCATACAGTGCAATACATTTAATTACATTTAGAATTGTCTAGGGAAAAGAAAGAGCTGAGCAAATTTACCATCTGAAATGAAACCCAGAGTTTTAAAGCACATCAAAATAAAAACACACAAAAACAGAGAACTTTCCCAAAGTCAGAGTACAGGATGTATGTTTACTTTTTGCAGAAACAATTGTTGTACACAACAGACATTACTGTCATGCCTGATTAATAGGCATCATAGTATGGTAGTCCAGATCCCAGCTACAAAGTACTATGTTGAGCAAAATACATCAGGAGTTTTTTCTCCTACATGTTCAAAAACATAAAAATGGTTCTACTTAAGCTACATCACAACACTGCCCTGGCCCATTTGTGTTGGTAAAAACTATCTTTTGCAATCACATCTAGATAACCACTGCTAATGACTCAGAGAAGCACATTTATAATCTGGGATTTATGCCATTTTTTTTTTTTCAGTCAAGACTGATTAAAGTGATTTGGCAATACCGCAAACATAATTCAGCATCTTTGGCACTGTTTAGAAAACTGTGATCACAGCTTCACGTGCACTAAGACAGGTGGTCATCTGTAAAATTTCAGGCTGATGCATCCAAAGAACAGATATTCAGCCAGCCATTTGACCTATGGGTGAAAAAGATGGGTGGGAAAAGAAGAAGACAAGACCCAAGAGGGTATGATTAAGCAAATACCCTGTTCCTGAGAGGATAAAACTCCAGCATTAAAAATAGACACTGTGCAATGCCATCTCAAGTGTTGCATCGTATATTAACAACAAATTAAAAACTAAGACTTCTATAAAAATATAGAAGACAACTGATTTTGATACAAAACATCTTCTAACAATAATTATTTAAATACATTATCAAATTGCAATAATATTTCTACCCCACATCTTCTCTTTCCTTTTAACTTTGCCTGAAATCAGTTCTTCAATGACACGAGCAAATCCACTTTGCTTCAAGCATTCTTCTGGCACCAAGAAATGGAAGCAGAGTATCAAGTTAATTAAGAGCATGATATTAAAAGCTGTGTTATCAGCAAAATGAAGGTGCAGACAGCAGCAGATTTTCTGTGGCTCTTTATGAGAGAACTTGTCTCCACTTCCATCTGAAAGTCAACATCTAGCGCTCTGAATGTGGAAATTCAGTTAAAGCCTGGGGGTAAAACAGCAAGAGATTTCAGATTCAAGCAGATATGAGAGAAATTCCAGCTCCAACAGGTAGACCACTGCTGCTACATGGGGCTATGTCTTCATTTGTAGGATTTTCACACAGTTGTTAGCAAATCCTTTCCAGAGGAAAAACAGGCCAGTCAGCCTGACAGCACAAATAAATGACAGTATTGTATTTCCAAAGCCTTCCAATGTGTTGCATGTCCCTCTCATCACTCACCACCATGTTTTCCAGTATAAATCATGTTCATGGGGACATCACAGAGGTCCCACTCCAGCTTAATGCCCCTCCTGTTTAGAGAGGAGGCTGCTTCCCTGCTACTCATCTTACAAGTTTACTCATTATGTCTGCCATTTCAAGGATTTCCACACTGATATATTACTACCAGGAACACCACTCTTGAGCCTAAACTCTGCCTTCATTTCCACCCCTGCTAGCACCCAATGCTGAGTGTTGCAGAGGAATTCAGTATCTGATAAATGCAATGTCATACACACTCATCAGTACCAAAATATCACTTTCAAATGTGAATGTGACAGGTCTCTGGGAAGGGACTTTTTTTAGCATTTGAACCACACAGACACAGAATAACAGGTCTCAACAGCATATGGCAGAGTTTCTTTGTGTAAAAATCAGACAGAAAAGAGCAGGACGTGCCTGAAAGACAACATGGAAAACGGCTTTAGCTGGGCTGCCAGAAAAAGAGAACTGTGCTGGTATTTTGGTAAATATAAGCACATTCTATATACACACAGAGGTGCAGTTACTTTTTCTCTCAGAAAACGTCACTAAATATTATTGAAGAATATTCAAATTAATTCCCAAAAACATTTAAAACAACTCAACAAAGCTATGCAATGATAACAAAGAAACATGTAGCTTTATCTTCCTTTTCAACCTTCCTTTCAACCTACCCCTCCACTACCTTACTCACAGTGCCTGCTCTCAGCTGTGTGCAACACATCATTTAGGAGAAAACCACGTCTACACCCAGATTATTTCCAGCCACACACAGAACAACAGAAGAGCACAAATATATCCTGCACTGTTTTATCATTTCACTCTAGTCAGCAAACAATCATCTCAGATAAACGCAAGACTCTATTATAAAATATCTCCACTAAACAAAGCAAACTAAAAAAAAAAGCTTTTCTCTAAGTTAACCCACCTGCACAATTTTAACCAAACCCTTCCTACACACACATCCATTCACCTTGTAAAAGGGTACAACAGCTGTTCAAAGGTAAACAGGGAGGCAGGTGATGGGATGGGAAGGGAGGGGACTGACTTCCATTTGAGAGCTTGGGAAGGCTGAGCCTTTGGGAAGGTCAGGAAGCAGCTCTTTGGAGACAGAGGCTGGCTAGAACTACCTCTCATGCTGCCTACTCTCCAGAAGGATAGAATTGTTTATTTCCTGTGGGATATTACTTAACTTTGGTCCAGTAGGAAACAAAAAAAAACCCTTTATACCCCATATGGTACTCAGAGCTACCTCACAGGAAGGATTACAAGCCAACATTTTAGTAATGCATCAAACTTCCTGCTTCACACAAACTTCCAACCACAAGTGCTTCACCTTGACAAACAGCCTAACCAAGCACTCTGTCAGAAGTAAAAAGCTGATCATTTAGACCAAGAGTAGAAAGTGTTATGTATCCTCCAGCTGACAGAAACAGGAAAGATGAGATCCAGAATGCAGAGTTACTGACAATATAACAAATCCTTTCCTTGGTGTCAATGTCTTGTTGAAAACAGTCAACTATCAACCATAGTTTTATTTTGAAGTCATCTTTCTTCCTCTCTGGAAATTAATACATTTGCATACTTCTTTCTACCCACAGGGTAGCCATTAAAGAAGTTTTCATATTAGTAATCATCACTAAAATCAAAGTAGCTGAGAATATTTTTGGATAACCATGTAAACTGAAATATTATTTTTATAATTAGTGGTTTTCTTTGATTTAGGTATCTGCAGTAGTCAGCATGGGAACCTCATGCTTCACTTCTAAGTTTTCTTTCTTCCTCTAATGCTTTAGCATGCTATTTTTGAAAGAAGAGCAAATTCTTATCACTTAAAAATTCTACACTGCCTCTGTGCTGGACCTTCTAATTCACACAGTACCTTGAAGGTACTCCTTTAAAGCATTATTTCGGTATTTTTTAAATTTATTGTGCAGAGGGCTGCTTCTGCTTTCATTTTCTTTCTGAGAAACGCAAATCTCCCAACTTCTAAACTTTTGCGTACTTTCACTTTCTGACTGCTAATTCTGTTAATTCACTAGTACCAAAATTCCCTTGGACTTCATAGTTCCCCTTCCTTTATTTTTCTTTTTTATATTTTTTAAGAGGGTTGTTTTGGTGCTTTTTTTCGCTTTTTCAAGTCTTCCTTCTTGCAGTTCTTTATGTTCTCCTGATCTTCAATCACAATTCTAGAGTGTCTCCATTGTCTCCTTCCCAGCAATATCATCAAAACGACAGATAAATCCTATTTTCCCTATATTCTCCATAAACTAACATCAAGGTCTTTTAAAGTCTGTGTGCCTAGGACTCATATACAACCCTGCCAAACTTTCAAAGGCAGACCATGCCTCTCAACTTGCCCTTTGCAAGTACCCTTTCTGTTCAGTTATATCTCTCTTGCCACCTTCACAGCTTCCCTGTTTCAACTGATGTAAATTCTAGTCTAATTCCCATGTGGAATCATAACTGCAGCTATGAGGAAAAAGGAGCCATTGAAAAAGAAAATCTCCCTTTCCTTCTTCTTATAGAAGTAACACTTATATTTTCTTTTTTTTTATTCCCAAGCTCTTGCAACATTTTAG